ACATCACGTGATTAGCGCCCCGCGTTGATCATTACCTTCTGACGTGGACGTCCATAGGCCTTCCGCCATCTCGTCACTTGTCAAGGAGAGAATCCTTCTTGTTACTTGTAACAACTAAGAGTTAAATCTTCTTATTTTCCTCTAAATCTTAATATCTTCTTATATCTTCCTAGTTGTTAGAGATAGTCTATTACTATATTAAGTAAGATAATAGCTTAAAATACAGAATACGAGATAAGCTATTAAACTTCCTGATTAGGTAAGTTCGAGTGAAGTTAGTGTTACAAGTAACAAGAAGGATTCTCTCCTTAACAAGTGACGAGATGGCTGAAGGCATATGGACGTCCACGTCAGAAGGTAATAATCATCGCGGGGCTAGGTCACGTAACGTGCCATCACGCCAAGATAGTGCTATTAGTAATGGCAGGGCTGTTATGTGATGGCAGCCGTCAGAAGTAGAGATAACCATCAATGATAGCAGGTCGAAGTCTGATAGCAGGACTGGAAGTAATAAGGATATAAGGATGGATAGATTTTATTATTAATCTTGTTATAGTTAAATTATACTTTCTTACTAGTTACTTAACTTTACAAGATTAATACTTATTAGTCTATTTAATATAGACTAGTAGTTGTTAAACCTTTATTACCTTCTTTATAAGCACGCCACTCCACTACATCGCTAGACAAACTCTCACGGAGCTCTTCACACCATCTCACTCGCCCTAACACGGATCGAGCTTAGAGAAGTATTAGCACCCAACCCCGTGTAACAGTTAGCCGCGTTTTTAAGACCTTAAAATAGAGATTTAATTACTAGTCCAATCCTAATATCTAAGTTTATAGTATACTCTAGAGGCTAAAATCTTATATTACGTTATATATTAAAATAGCTAGGTAGTATATAAAATTATTCAAAAATTGGTCTACAATATTTATAATAATAGAATTATTAAGAATAGTTAAAGATAAATATATATAGTATTCTACTAGCTTTAAAAACTACCTATAGCTCTAAAAGTAACCAACATTACATTATTTTAGTTAACTACGCGATGTTGTGGTGCGCCAAGCCATTTTAGAGAATCGAACATTTTTTCCACCGTGTAACGAGTAGCTGTACGTTAGTGATGAAGTTCAATCATCGATTCGATATGAAATAGCCATTTTGACTTTTAAGAAGGTTTAATCATCTAGACTATATGCTTCGCATAAAATGGAAACTACTTTAGATGGCTGGGTTCGGGTAGATCTGCAAACACCGGCTGACGGTCAAGTGAAAACTATAAGTACGATTAGAAAAGAATGTTCTAAAAAGGGTTGGAGTGGATTCAACTTACACCTGTATTATTTTCTATGTCCAGAATCAAAGCTTCCTTCGAGAATAGAAGGAAAGATACACCCGTGTCGATGTGTTGTCTGGCGACAGCCTCGAACTCCTTTTGGGCCATCCTAATCGACGGTACAGATGCTTGATTCTTCATGTATATCTTATATACCACTGCGTATTGTGGCAAATCTGCTCCACCAAAATATGCGTGTAAGTCGAAATGTTCTGAGACTTCTGCGACATTGGCACAGGCACCCCACACCTCGTCTTGGCAATATTTCTCGAGCTCTTTGATCAACAGAGGCGTGATGTGTGCTTCTACTATATGGCCATTGGGTTGATTGTCAGGAGTAGAAATGAAATACATAGCTACTGTCGCATAGTCTGGCTGGGCCGTTGGCTCAGATGCGAGACGAGTCGAAACGCTGAGCTTCTTTTCTCTTGCCATCAATGATATGCTGGTCTCAAAATCCGCAAATTCGAACCCATCAGGTGCTATCACGTTCTTAACATGCTCGCTATTAAAGCATGCTTTGACATGATCCCAATCGCGAAAGTAAAGCTCGGTGGTGTCGTCACGCCCGCACCAGATCTGATTCGCATTCCTCAGAATACCGGTATCACCGCGTGGGCCGTAAACAGAATCAAAGACTTGCGTTTGGATGTACTTACTGTATACCTGTGTATTAGCAAGACCCTAGCATAGTAGGTAACATCTGTTTACAGCTTACTGCGGTTTTTGATTTTGGTCGTCGATGATATCATTGATCGAGCCATGAATTTGGAAGCGATGATCAAAAAACTCTTTACGAGTTAAGCCAGGTTTTCTGCGCCCAGTGGCTATCTGTTTGATTAATCCGGTGGAACTGGCCATGATAGTTTGATAGATGCGTCGATATCTTAAATGCAGTAATAGAAGTGTATCGTATAACTATCCTCCGGATTTTACTAGCGCTATATATCTTCAGTATTGAGGCATCCTTTACCCTAATCTCCACATTCCGAGGGGAGATCTTACAAGATGCATATATGACTAAGTGCTCGTTTACATTTGATCTCTATTTAACTCTGTTAAATCTAAGCAAAATATAGAATCGGTTTTATTATTGTCAGATTGAACTATTATGAAAATAGCTCTTTGCTACTGCACTAATTTTACCTATCAAGTGAGTGTTTAACTTGTTTATCAGTGCAGGATTGCCGAATTCTCTACTTTTTTGGGATCCCAATACTGCGATGGGTTCTGAAATCACATGAGCGCAGATATTATCACCAATTATCTGAAAGGTCGGGAATATGGGAATGGTAACCATGCGATATGCATAAAGAGCGGTATGTGGAGACGTTTCGGCGCTGAACTTACACCGAGAAGGTTTCGGCTTTACTTTGGGGTTATCTGGATAGGCAGTATTCGTGAAGTCTGATCCGTATTCAGTTTAGCTTGTACGTTAGCTGGTAGTTTTAGATGAAAGTGCCTCGCGTCTGCGGGGAAACCTTGGGGTTCGGGCCTGTGGGGTTCGGGTCTGTGGGGTTCGGGTCTGTGGGGAAATCCTGGGGTTCGAGATCAGTCATGGCTCGGTTCCAGAATTAACGCCTTGCGTACATATGTAAAGGCTGTTTATCACATGTTTGTGCTATATGCAGTACACATCAGTATTAAATACACAAATCACAGCTGGAGTGTAACGATATGGATCATAAGGAAGAGCAACAAACTAGTGAACATGTTCCGGAAGAAAGCCTCGAAGAACCAACGGAGGTTCATATCAGAACTATCATAGTGGTGGCCGTAAGTCATACCTACTCTTACTTTGTTACTCAACTAATGGCTCGTTGCTTCATTTAGGCCGTGTGCTTAACGAGCTCTGCCCAACTTATTTCTATTGTGGGCGGCGGTATACTCGCTCGAGCTATGGCAACCGTGCTTGGTGACCCTACTGTATCGCAGTGGTTCGGAACTATCAAGAACATATTGACCTTGGTCACTATCCTTCCAGTCTCACAAGCTGCAGATTTTTGGGGCCGAAAATGGTTCATTTTGATCTGTAATTCACTTGGTGTAATTGGATATTTAATCGTCTCCCGGTCCGAAAATATGACTACAGTTATAGTCGGCTTTGTTATCGGCAGCGCCGCCTTTGGTTGTCAGTCTTTAGCTTATGCTATACCTTCGGAAGTCTTGCCTCGCAAGTATCGTGGTTATGGCCAAGCTGCAGCAAACATATCAGGTGGATTGGGAGCTACAATTGCAGTACTTATGGGCACTGCTCTTACGAAACACAACCCCGATGGCTGGAGGACATACTGGTACATCTGCGTTGGCGTCTACTTTCTCAGTATTGTATGCGTCCAATTTGGCTACAACCCTCCACCACGTGAACTCGAGACTACAATGACTACAACACAGAAACTTCGGACAATGGACTGGATTGGAAGCTTACTTATTGGAATAAGCTTGGTCCTCATTTGTATGGGTCTCCAATGGGCTGGCAATCCATACAGATGGTCAAATATACACGTTCTCGCACCCTTGGTTATTGGGATCTGCTTTCTTTTTGCCTTTGGGCTGTGGGAGTGGAAAGGTACTAGTGAAGGCATACTCAACCATCGCTTATTCCAACACCGAAACTTGCCCCTTTCCCTCCTACTCTTCTTTACAGAAGGCCTGACTTTCCAGACGGTCAACAATTACTTCGTTTTCAATATATCTACGATCTCTCATATCGACTCATGGAGTAGCGGTCTTCGATTTATCGTTATATTTATCACCTCCGTTGTTATCGCCTTTGTCGCAGGCGCTTATATTACGTTTCGGAAGAGAGTCCGAGAGACTTTGGTGTGCGGGTTCCTTTTCGTCACCACTTTCTGTATCCTCATGGCATTCTATAAAGAAAGCCTCCCACTAGCCAATGGCTTTGGCTATGCGGTCCTTAGTGGAACAGGGCTTGGGGTCATCTTGACTGGTACGATTGTAGCTGCACAGATGGGTACTCCTCCGGAGATGATATCCCTCAGTACAGCACTCCCCTTGGCCACAAGATCCCTTGGAGGCGCGATCGGCCTCGCTATTGACAATGCAATTTACAGCAACACTCTCGACGACAATCTTTCCAAGAAAATCGCCGAAGCAGTGTTGCCACTTGGATTCAATGCAAACAGCTTAGGAGACCTGATCAAAGTTCTCCTATCGAATTCGCCGGCTGTCAACCAAATCTCTGGCATCACGCCACAGATTCTCGCTGCTGCTAAACATGGATTAGATGAGGCGTACAAAATGTCCTTTAAAAATCTTTGGACTTCCGCGGCTTGCTTTGCTGCTGTTGGCGTCATCGGTAAGCTGTCTATTCCCCACGGCCCTTAATCGACATCAATCGTCGAGGCTTTAAAGCAGCCTATCTAATAATTCTAAAGGTTCGGTGTTCATTTCGGAAACACAGTCTGAGTTCACAGAGTCGATCGATGCTCCTGTCGAGACCAAGCTGCTAGGAAAAGTGGAGAAATACTAGAGCAATGGTATAACTTGAAAAGAAATACTAGCCTAAAGCTAATGATTAGCTACTCTGGAACTATAAGATTTTCTCGATTGACCTTTATGTTTAGTTAGAGTTGTTTTTAATTTTCTAGTTACAATGTTTACTAATGTTTAAAGATACTATAGAGAGAAAGTGCAGTGGATATAAACCTCTAGAGAGAACTTTAAATAAAAAATAAGAAAAAAAAGTTAAATCTTATAAGAAACCTTTAATTTGATCTCTAGTAGAGTATTACGACCTGCTATATAATACTAAGAATTTTTCAATATTATATATTGTGGTGTAGCATCACGTGACTAAGCGTATAGTATATATTACGATTATCTTTCGTACGTAGATAGGCACCTTCTCTAATTTATCCTTTGTAACGATTAACCTTCGGCTTATTTCTATCTACTCGATTGCGGGTCGCCTCTCTAATCTTTTAAGCTTAATCACGTATCGTGCTACATTTTTAGTGACCTAACTAGGGGGTGTAATGGTCTATTAGAGAGAAAAGAAAAAGTTAAAAGAATATTATAAGGTTTAGCAGCTTAAGAGCGAGTCGTTAAAGGAGAGAGTTAAAATTATTTAGTAACAGAAAGGGTTTTAGCAGAGAACGAGGTTCGAACGTAGAGACTCTAAAAAGAGAGTAGTGTAGTACCCCTGAGGGCGTACCGGAGCTAAGAACGATTAAGAATCGAGCTTAGATTAGAAAGAGAGCAAAGTAAATACAGCTTAAAGAAAAAGAGAAGAAAAGTAGTTATAAAGACCTATTAGAGAGCTCTATAATAAGTACTATAATAGAATACTAGNGACGGNTTAAGNCTANAGATNCTAACGCACTAAGGTTTAATAGGCGAAATATTACTAATTTTCTTAAAGAATATAACTTTAAGTGCGATTAGGTGTTATAGTTAGAGGATACTTAAAAAAGACAGCTACCGTACTTTTATAAGCAATACTATAAAGCTTTTATCTAAAAGCTTTCTAGCTACTTAGATCTAGAAGTATTATAGGCTAATTACTAAGCGGAGTTAAAGAGTCTCTACTTAAGTTAG